GGCCTTGAACTAAGGGGAACTTTTTGCATTAACTTATTTTGCAACTCTTGAGGATCTTAGGGAAGAACTTGGTCACCACTTGATCTTAGACCGGAGAGTACCAAAGATAAAGAGACATGAGAAACAAATCAAAGAGAGAAGAATAATAAGTTCCTTGCAGGGCTTAATTCATCTTCTTACCTAATTAATAAGATGGCATCCAATGGACTAGGTATGAAGACTCCTTTCTCTATCCTTTGTCCTGATCAAGTTGTTTTTCCTTTGACTCCAAAAGTTTTTTGTTGTGTATGTTTCATCCATGTCACAGAACTAAAAAGAATGAAATTAGATTCAAAATCTATTCGTGGAGTCTTCCTTGTCTACTCTCTCACTCAAAAGGGTTATAAGTGCCTTGATCCTAACACTGGGATAAAGTTTGTTAGCAAGGATGTCACTTCTTTGAATCTTAGTCTTTCTTTGAGCCTCTTTGGAATCCTCTTTAGGGGGAGAATAGTATGGTGGAAGAGACTCTGTTTATGCCTCAGCCACATTCTAACACTTTTCCACCTCCTTCTGACCCAACATCATCTTCCTCTTCCTCATTTCCATCTTCTTCTGATCCTACATGCCATGGACAAACTCCTAATTAGGGTTTTAAAAGGCATGGGAAGCGTAAGTCTGGAGGTGCACCTCGAGGTGCCCCCAAAACGCCCTGAGGCATATGCTAGAGACATTGATACCTTCAAGGTGTAGCCTTGGTGCAAGAGGTGTATGCCTCGTATGTCTTTTGCATGAGCCGTGCTAAAGACAAGACACCCCCCCCCCCCTTTTAGCTAGTGTTATGCATCTTCATTCTTCTTAATACAAAAGATTTTTATTAAAAATAAAGGAAAACTACATCCTCCTTCCTCTTCTTCCTCCTTCTTCTTCCTCCTCGTTCCCCTCCTTGTGTTCAGGAGGCTTATGCCTCTTACATTCTGAACTACACCTCTTCACAGTTCGCATTTTAAAACATTGCTCCTGATCCTATCAGCAACTAGTTGACCTCATAGAAAGTAAAACAAATGAATGTGAGATCAAGATGAATGTGTATAAAAGGAAGAGAGAGAGTACACAGTGAAGATGAATGTGTATTGCTGAAGACTGCGACCAATCAGGTGACTCTTAATCTGGTCAAGGTATTGTCCCTCACTTTGATTTAGTTGTTCCTATTGTTCTATGTTATCAAGATCATTCCTGCACCTTGCATCCTATATCTAAGTTTGTTTCATACTCTCATCTTTCACTTGCCTATTACTCATTTGCTTTTGCTGTGTCCTCTATAACCACTCCTTCCAAGTTCTCAAAAGCTATTCTTGATTCCAAGTGGAGAGAAGCAATGAATGGGGAAATGTGAAGCTGGTACATGTGAGTTAGTGGATCTATCTGATTGGATTTAAACTGTTGGATGCAAATGGGTGTACACAGTGAAGCACAAGGTAGATGGGTCTGTAGAGAGGTTTAAGGCAAGGTTGGTTGCTAAGGAATTCATACTGAGAGAAAGCATTGACTACAAGGAAAGATTTGTTCCTCCTGTGTATTATCATTCAAAAAAAAAAGGATTTGCTCCTGTGGAAATTCTAACTATCTAGGTTCTATCACTTGCTACAAATTACTTTTGGAAGTTGCATCAACTTGATGGAAAAAAAATGCCTTCTTAAATGGTGATCTTCAAAATGTCTATATGGATCCTCCTCTAGGATTTGATATGGATGGGAAGGTGTGTAGATTGAAAAGAGCTTTGTACAACTTAAAGCAATCACCTAGGGCATGGTTTGAGAGACTCTGCAAAGCCATGAGGAATGCGGGATATAGGCAAAACAATGCTAATCCTATTCTACAAGAAGGAAAATGACAGGTTTATTATTTTAATAATGTATGTTGATGATATGGTGATCATCAACAATGATACAAAAGAGATTAAGGATTTAGATCCTGTGAGATACTTCTTCTGTTGTTCTTCTTTCTTCTTCTTCCTCCTTTGCTCAACTTACTTTAAGATTCTATTACCAAGAAAATTATGTTTTGATGGATGTCAATTTCTTTAAGTTTTAGTCTTACTCCTCTAACTTCATTTTGTAATTTTCTCTACTTCCTACCTACATGGCTTTTTTTCAATCATATCTTTTGTGTCTATTTCCTTGTTTTTTATTATTTTTATAGAAGTGTCTATATCCCATCACCTTGCCAGAGGTCATGGTTGTACATTAGTGAAAAAAGATATGGAAGATGCAATGTATGCTCTTGAAAAATGTTATATTTGGATGTTAACAAATCAACCGCATAGAAAGAAGCTTGTAGGATACAAGTGGGCATATACTATTAAATACAAGGAAGATAGATCAATATAGAGATATAAAGCCATATTAGTAGCAATAGGATGTATACAAAAATATGTGGTTGACTATATAGAGACATTTGTCGTTGTGGAAAAAATGAATTCAATCTATATCCTTTTTGTTGTTGCTACTTATGATTGACCATTTTATCAACTAGATGTGAAAAATGCCTTCTTGCATGGTGATTTACAAGAAGAATTTTACATTCAACCTCTTTTTGGGTTTGTTTCGTTACTTTTAAGATGGATTAAGGAAATATGCTTATTAAAGAAGGAAATATATGGCTTTAAATAGTTTCCTAGGGTGTGGTTCAATTGGTTCAGTTTAGCCATTATGGGCAATGTTCAAAGAACGGACCCGAAGGGAGAGCCACTGGGTCATCCTATAGATAATATATATAATATATGTGTTATATGCATAATTATATAATTATACATAATATATGTGTTATATGCATAATTATATAATTATACATAATAATATACATATATCAAAATATATAATTATATTCTGCATATGACGTTTTTTAGTTTAATTTTAATTTTTTATACCTAAGTTAAGATTTGAGGCCAAAAAAGGCATTGTTTTTGGCAAAAATAGTGGGGCAAGGCGCTTTTGGAAGCTTACATAGCTTGCAAAAAGTTGGCTCTGGAAGTTTGGATAAAAGTTAAAATGAAAAAAAAAGAAAACAGCCAGTTTTATGAATCTGGGACCAGTTCACCGATTCCCTGGTTGGAATGGCCGGTTGGCCGGTTGGCCGGTTAAGGCTGTTTTTTTACCACCAAATTTTAGAGCCTGACCAAACTAGCCGGTGAACTGGTTCATGGTTTTTAAAGTCCAGTCCAGTTCTCTGAACACTGGTTATGAGTTGTGGATATAAACAAAGTTAAGCAGATGATACTTTGTTCATTAAGAAGGATGACTAATCAACTACAAGTCTACAACATAAATGCAGATGATATTGTATTCATAGCCATAGGTAATTCTTAGGAAGAAATACAAATTCTACTGAATTTGAGATTAAAGATATGGGAAATCTGAAGTACTTGGTTGGGGTTGAAGTGGTTAGATCCAAGAAGGGAATTTTCATCTCTCAACGTATATTCATCTTTGATCTAATCACAAAGATATGGAAGCCTAGGGATCAACCAACTGATGTTCCTATTGATCCAAACCGCAAAATGTATGGGATGGTGAGATACTTGAAGATGTTAGTTTTAAAGATTGGTAGGGTGGTTAATTTACTTGTCCTGGACCAGGCCAGATAGGTATCTTGTTTATCAACCTGTGAGATTGTACTGTGATAATAAGACAATAATTAATATTGCAACAACCCTGTCCAACATGACAGCATGAAACATAATTGTCACTTCATCAATGAGACAGTTGAAGCTAAGGGTATTTGGGTCCTTTTACCTTTATGAGGGTAATTTAGTACTTTTGTTTTGCATTAAAAGTATCAACAGAGGATGCCGACTTAATTTCATTCTCTTAAACTTAGTTCTGTTTGCTCTCTCTCTCTCTCTCTCTCTCTCTCTCTCTCTCCATTTCTATTTTTTTCTTCTTCGTCTTGGTTAAGATCTATGCAATTTTGGGTTACATGGTTGCATGGAGCTAACCATGACAACCATCAAGTTTTCTTGTTGGGCTGTATGGGACTTTTTTCTATCAATCCTGAAACCTTAAACTAACTAGACAATACAAGCCACAATTCCATAATGTAGGCTTTTATTCCTTGGATCCTAACGATTTGGGGTCTTAGGAGGGGTTGACTGCATATGGACCTAACCTATTGACATTTTTTACACTAAATTGTTGCTTACATATTTGTATTGATGATCTGATGCTTGTATGCGCCTGAGATTTGACAATTGACCAAGCAATGGTTCCTGTATGTTGAGTGGGGAAATTACAAAAAACGCCCCCTTTAAATCACTTATTGAACATGGATTACATTCTTCTAGGAATTTCTGAGAAATATACCTCAAATCAACTTATCCAATTCAATTTCTTCACTTTCCTCAGACTCGCCTCTGTCTCGTCCCTCTCCAGGTTCTCTCTCCTCTACCTTTTGAAGAGGTTTTGCTGACATGTTATTGTGCTTCATACTAGTTATCCAAGAATGCTCCACACACTTCTCTGACCAAAGGACCAGGTCCTGTTACTCTCACATTGTTGAGTTTTATCTTTGAAGTGCACTTGAGCCTTGTCTTCTATTATACAAAACTAATCCTTTAAACTACATTTGAAAAAAAACAGAGGAATTTGATTTTTTTTGGATTTTTTTAGGGGAGGGGGGTGCCAAGGGCAAGATGTAGTACCTCAAAAGAAGTTTTCAGTCTGGTTTGGTATCTGGTACTGTTTACAGCTTGAAATGACTTACAGTAACAACTTGAGTGCAGTTTTTGCCTTCATATTGTTATAATGAACGGTTCTAATCATTGGGTTAAAAGTGCAAAATAAATGAAAATGGCTTTACACAAACAACTTGAATGTAGTTTTTTTTTCTTCATATTGCCAGAATGAATAATTCTAATCATTTGGTTAAAGGTGCACAAATAAATGACATTGGAACTTGAAGTCATGTAAATGAACTTTTTACTCGTAATATTATCACTATATTTTTATCTGTTGTTATGTTAGGTTCCAAGAAGCGAAGGCGCAGACCAGTTGCTCAGAAAAGCAATGTAGAAGATGAGCAGGAGATAGTAGAGAAATTACGTGAGAACTCAGACTTCATCCATGCAATACTGAGAGGAGACTTCACTGAAAATGAAGACAAAGGGTTGACTGATTTAAGAAATATCCATTCAAGCCAGACTAAATTCACAAGGAACCAGGCTGATGAGTTGATCAAGGTCCTTGGAACTCTTGCTAGCACGGTTAACCAGCTTTATGATCAGATTCAGTAAGGAAGACAATTCTCTGTGAGATCATAATGTATATTTTCCATGACATGTCAATCGTAGTAGTTTGTATGAACCTGGTAACTATTATGTTTTCCATTACAAGATAACTGTAGTGTTTAGTTTGTATAACCCTATTTTACAAATTAACGTTTTTATTTATTTTTGTTAATTATAAGAAAATATATAAAAATTTGTTATCTATATTAATATATTATATCATATATCTATATAAATTTTTTTTATCTAAATATTATATAATATTTACCATATATGTATATAATTCGTAGGTTGAGCTTAGGTATTTCTTAGCATAGGTCTAACCCGCATTATGTGTTGGTTTGGTATGAATCCAAGTTGGGCTTAGCTCAGAAGAAAATAGTTGCTTGATCCTAGGAATTTGCAAATATGGCCACATTAGACTAGGTTATAAATAATCATCCCTAGGCAAAAGGAGCATTTCCAATTAAGCCATTATTATTTTTATTATTTTGTAAATTGTTATTTTTATTTGGAATGTTAATGATTTGCATGGGTCTTAAATTATATTTTATGTCAATTAACCAATTAAATGAAATTTAAATATGAAACAATTTTGAATCTGATTCATCAAAAAAAATTTGATTGTGTGTGTGTTAACAAATGTTAATTCTTGGCATTCAAATTGGGGTTCAACCTAGGTTGAACCAGAGGTCGAAACATGATGACATGGCATATATGTAGTATATATATTATGGGTTATATAAATACTATATATAATATACTTTACAACTTTTAATATACTTAAATATGGTGGATGAAAGGAAAATTGTTTAATTTTTAAAGCAATTGACCAAGGTTCAAGTCTCTTAATTTATATTTTCTTTAAAATACATGTATAATAAAGTATTACTATATATGTATATAATTCGTAGGTCGAGCTTAGGTATTTATTAGTATAGGTCTAACCTGCATTATGTGTTGGTTTGGTATGAATCCAAGTTGGCCTTAGCTCAGAAGAAAATAGTTGTTTGATCCTAGAAATTTGCAAATTTGGCCACATTAGGCTAGGTTATAAATAATCATCCCTAGGCAAAAGGAGCATTTCCAATTAAGCCATTATTATTTAATAAATTGTTATTTTTATTTGGAATGCAAATGATTTGCATGGCTCTTAAATTATATTTTATGTTAATTAACCAATTAAATGGAATTTAAATATGAAACAAATTTGAATCTGATTCATAAAAAAAAAAAAACAGAAACAAATTTGAATGTGTGTGTTAATTCTTGGCATTCAAATTGGGGTTCAACCTAGGTTGAACCAGAGGTCGAAACATGACGACATGGCATATATGTATATATATTATGGGTTATATAAATACTATATATGATATAGTTTACAACTTTTATTATACTTAAATATTGTGGATGAAAGGCAAATTGTTTAATTTTTAAAGCAAATGACCAAGGTTCAAGTTTCTTAATTTATATTTTCTTTAAAATACAAGTATAATATATATAATAAAGAGTCATTAAATAATTAGTGGTTAATAAGCAATGTATGAAAATAAGAGGTCATGGGTTTAAGTCTTGTCACACTCATTTTAGAATTTAAATTACTTAGTGACCTAGGAGGTTTTATGTAACTGAGACCATTTTGTCGATTTTTTGGTTAAAGTAAACAATCAATTGGTTTTCACTAGGTTTTTGAACTTTATGGTTCAACCGGTCTGACTGACCAATCCAGTCCAGTTTTCTAAACACTAGTTATATTTATAATATTGTTAGAAAATGTTGCAACCCAAGACGGGGGCTGGGGGGTTGGGTTGAATTGGGTTTTATCCAATTTTTTCTAATACTGACCTTTCCCAATTTGTTTAACAAATTAATGACGAGTTGATATTAGAAACTGCGAAGTATTATGCAAAGTTAACAATACATAACCAATATTCTAAAATTCAAGAGAAGTATGTGATGTAAATAATAAAGAATGAATGCAAGTGTTTGAAAGTAAACAAGGGAGATAGTAAAGAGTGACGAAGAGACACAAACGATCTATAGAGGTTTGGCTTCTCCAAGTCTATGTCCTCTCCCTAAGCAACTGCTTGGGAATTTCTATAACTAATTGGTCTTGCATGTTCCAATCAAAACCTTAACACCAAGTATGCTTCTGGGTCCTACATAAATTTAGACAGACTTGCAGATCTGCTAAAATCCAAATAGAGTTGCACGAGTGCTAAAACCTTACTATGGCTCCACCCCTTATGTTAGTACAACCACGATCCACCCCTCCTAGATTCAACACAAATGCTAGTTAATAAGATGTTAGTTCACCCTTACAACCTCTCAAGCTTGTAGGAAATTGTCAGAATTGTTAGAAGTAGTTAATAGGGGCAGTATTGTCATTTTCATGTTATTCTTTCTCTCTTATATCTGTTGTAATTTTCCTAAGGGTATTGTAGTCATTTCAGCATTAATAGAATGTTAATACAACTTGAGTGACAATAAGGAGAATAGAACAGATTTCTCCTTTCTTGTCTTCCATTTTTTCTTTTCCTATTCTTCCCTTTCCCTTCCCTTTCTCTTTCTTTCTTCTATCATTTTTTTTTCACTTTTTCCTCACTTTATTAAAGTTGGAACATGGTATCAGAGCCTTGAGGTCGAATGTACTGTGCGCGGCACTGTTCACATTCCAACTTTTTTGTGCCTTAAGAATAGAGAATATTCTATATTCATTGTTGGAAATGAAAAGGACTTAAGAGGACTGATCGTCCACTTGGAAAAGAGGCTTTAATGCCTCAAGTAACAGTGTTGTGTGAGTTGGTGGTGTTTTATTAAAAGCCTTCTATTCAGCAGTTAGAAGAGGGCAGCTTTGTGATGTTTCGAGTTGTGAGGTAGGTACTCTTCAATGTATGGTGATTTTGTAGTGGTTTGTGTTGTGGTGACACCTTTTGATAAGTATGTAATCTTTCCCAAGTGTTTCTAAAGTAGAGAGTTGATAATTCTTGGTGTTTTTCCTAAAGAAAAATGTGTGTTATAGTAGTTGCATACTAGTTGTTTAACAGTTTGCCTAAGTGGCAAATCAGTGATCTCCTTTCACTCATGGCTTCATCAAATGGTAGCACTAAACATACAACAGTTGTGCAATCAGATTTCATGACTTCTCAATGGTACTAATTATGTCCCATGGGCCAAGTCGGTTGAGGTATCTCTCATTGCAAGAGGCAAGTTGAAGTACATCAAGAAGGGTCCATTGAAAAGTGAATCAGAAGGGTACAATGAATGGGTACAAGAGAGTGCCCAAATTATGACATCACTTTGGAATAATATGGAGAATCACATTAGTGTAAACCTTATGTTTCTAGACACAACCAAAGAGATTTGAGACTATGCCAAGCAATTGTACTCTAGACAAGATAATGTCACAAGAAATTACCAGTTGTACCAAGACTATTTTTCTCTTCAACAAGGAGATAACAGTGTTGAAGAATACTTTGATTCTCTAAAAAGTTTAAGGAATGAGCTCAAAGTTTATCAACCCCTATCCACTTATTTGAAGACTCAACATGAACAACGAGAACATCTAGATGTAGCAAGATTTTTATCTGGGTTGAGGTTTGAATTTGAACTAGTGCGGGTCCAAATCTTAGGGAGTAGTGATCTTCCATCATTGTCTGAGGTTTTTTCTCGCATAAGGAGAGCCTCAAATCCGCATAGTGATCATCCCCCACCTTTAGAGAGATCAACCATGGTGGTTTCCAGAGGAGGTTTTCCTAGTAGACATATGTATGGTAGAGGTGAAGGAAATGTGAGGGGTTTTGTCCGTGGGCCCAGAGGTGCACGAGGAGGTGGTAGAGAGTTTGGTGGTGCAAGTGGTGGTGGTGGTTGTGGCTCAGCCCGTGATTGCTCACATTGTAGACAAAAATGTCACATAGTCAACTTTTGTTATGATCTTCATGGCCCTTCATCCTTCTAGGCTAACCAAGCAATGGTGGAAGGTGATTTTGGGAGTCTTAGTGTGATTGAAATTGCTCCTACTTCCAATGTTGATAAGGATAAAGACACAATTTCTATCTCACATGAGGAGTATGAAAAGTTTCGACAATTTGCCTCTTCTAGTTCTGCCACAACTTGTCTTGCTTTTAGTTCTTCACCTTCACCTTAGGTAATTGATTTTGGAGCTTTAGACCACATGACTGGCTCCTCAGATATGTTTGTATCATTGTCACCACCTTCTACCTCTCACACCATTACCTTAGCTGATGGTTCTTCTTTTGCTATTACCGGTACCGGTAATGTGTCTCTTGGTTCTTACCTTAGTTTACGCTCGGTTTTTTATATTCCTAAGTTTTCCTTTAATCTCTTGTCTGTAAGTAAGGTTACTCAAACCCGTCATTGTTCAGTAACATTTTATCATTCATATTGTGTCTTTTAGGATCTCAAGACGGGGAAGACGACTGGTGGTGATCGCAAAGTTGGAGGATTGTACTACTTGGATGACCATGGTCCTTCGAAGGCTCTTCATTCCCCTCTTACATCACATCAATGGCATTGTTGTCTTGGTCATCCTTCTCTACGTGCTTTGAAAAAGCAAGTCCCAACCTTAGAGTCTGTAACTCAGCTACATTGTGAGTCATGTCAGTTGAGTAAACACCATAGAGTGTCTTTTGTTCCTAGGGATGATAAGAGAGTCCTGAGTCCTTTTGCTTTAGTCCACTCAAATGTTTAGGGTCCTAGTCGTGTGTCATCTTATAATGGATTTAGATATTGTAACATTTATTGATGACTATTCAAGAATGACATGTATTTACTTAATAAAGGATCGTTCAGAATTGTTCTCTATTTTTCTATCTTTTCATGCTGAGATAAAGAATCGGTTTGGTGTATGCATTAAAGTGTTTCGTTAAGATAATGCCAATGATTACTTTCATAGTAATTTTCATTCTTATTTTAACTCTTATGATATTATACATTAGTCCTCATGTTCACACACTCCTTAGCAAAATGGTATAGCTGAGAGAAAAATCAACATGTGATTGAAACTGCTCGAGCCTTGTTGATTCAAATGTCAGTTCCTAAAATCTATTGGAGTGATGTAGTTCTCACCTCTTATTTTCTCATAAACAGTATGCCTTCTTTAGTCCTAAATG